CTCTGGCACTATTCAGTCAAAAAAAACCAAACCACAAAATCAGAAAGAGGAAAAAAGCAGCTTTTACTGCCTAATGCATTCAGATAGAACAGGTTCTTGACTTTGTTCACGGAATTGTTGCTGGAGCTCATTCACTGACTGTGAGCACAAAGCATATGGAACAGAACATGACCCAAAACCCAGAAGTTCCCTTGCCCAAGAGGTAAAAACCTGGCTATCCATTGCCAGCAGCATTCCCCTTTCCTCCACTTGGATTTGAAAGGTAAATAGTGAACACTACTGTGCCCTGGGGGAGGACACACTGGCTGCTGACTTTAGTAGTGTCTGAGAGGATGGAAGTACCTTCCTTAGGTAACTCAGTGGTCTTTATGTGAAGCAAAATCTGATTTTGCTTCTTATAAACAGTTCTGATCTATCTTCTTTTTATAGATTTAGTCACACATTAAGTACCAAGATTCACATCCAGGATTCTGGATTACATTCTGGCCAAGGCTGCTGGAAGCTACATACTGCAACCTAACCTACTGATACTATGAGTATCTAATGCAGTTCTTGCAGATGAATGGTTATAACATACAGATTATGTACCAACAACATTTGATCACATAAATTTTATATAAATTAAAGCACATTGTAAAACCAAATTAAAGAGAATTGGAGTAAAATGCTTTACATGGTTTGCAGAATGAGGAAATAGATTCTTTTATTATTAAGCAAACCCCTTGGTCTCGGTGGTGACAGTAGACCTCTGAAGAACTATTCATTCCAGTGATTGCTGAGCAGAGGGAATGATTAGCAACTTAAAAAAACCCCTGTTTTACTGGGAACCAAAATACAAAGGAACTAAGCTTCAGGGCTATACAATTAGTTTTAGTGCAAAGTATTATTATATAGTGATTCTTAATATAACTTTTCTTATGCAAATGTTGAGGGTGATGATTGTTAAATATCAAAACAGCAGGTGAAGACAAAGCCAGATAATGTATTGAAAATTTTTCAGAGACCTTACATTACAATCAAAAATAGAACTGCAAAGACTTTAAAGCTAACTGGAAGTCTCACTTCAAGGGACAACACATTAAAGACTTGTCATAATTCAGGCAAATTGTTTGCACTATTTTCGCTGCCGAAAAATAGTTAAGTAGTTTGAAGTAAGTCTTGTTGTCTTGTTGAAGTAAGTACATGTAACTACCCCTAGGAAAAGATCAGAATTCAAGCCCCCACTTTCTGTTGTGCAGAAAACCATAAGCAACTTTGATTCAGAGGATTAGCTCAGGAGATTAAATCTGCATGAGTTGGTAAAACAATAAGATGATCCAATAACCCAGCAGCAATCCAACTGCAAGCAGGCAGATCAAGAAACTTGGCAAGCATAGGGAATACTCTGCATGCATGCCAAAGAACCAAATTCTGAAGTGATTTCTGTATATTAATGAACAAAACTTGTGTAGCATGCTTTACCACAAAAAATGTTATTTACATTATACATTATCAACCGTGAACTAAGCTTCCCGAGTACAAGATTGCAAATAACAAAATTACATCGTTTACAGGAATGGTAACAAAAATTATAAAGCCTGGAATGAAGGTATTGCAATGCACTCCCTGCAATGAAACACAAGAAAAACTTGATGAACAGCAAAACTTCATGAGCTAAACACCACGGTGGTTTTAAAGTTTGTACTGTATTTATTTACAAAGTTAAATGTTTCATAAATACACAGACACAAATAGACAGATACTCTCAAAACAGTAAAAAAATATTCCACTACACTCTGTGGATCCTGATTTCCAATGAACCCAAGCAATGTTAAATATTGCTGTAGTAGATTTTATACTTCACCGCTAATTTTACACTAAACAAACACTGCAAAAGGGAAAATAGACCTTTATGACACAAGAAGAAAAAAAGTAATTCCTGTCCTTTCCATAACGCCTACATTTCCAGAAAACCATGGACCTGATCCTTCAACTGTACACATTTAGTTTTACTCTCATGAGCAAATCCCACCAATTTTAATAGAAAAGAGTTCATATTAAGAAAGGCAAACAAGTACACACATATATTCTGGACTGAGGAAAAATTGGGCCTTTTACACAGTAATTACTTCAGTAAACACATTATTACTCCTATACAGAGGTTTTGCTTACACAAGGAAAACATGTTATGGAACAAAAAAGTGCACATTAAACATTTCAACTAATATAGTAAAACTTTATTCAAATAGTAAGTTTACACAGACTGCCATTAGCTTGTTGTAATGTCGTGGTTTAAATGAGACTGAACTCTGCTGCATGTTGTCTATTCAACTGCTTCAAGCACAGCGAGCTATCAGTCCTCAGGAGGCAGAATCCTGCCTCATTTAATGTCAATGGGAATTTTGCCATTGGTTTCAGAGCAGAAGAATGTTTTGGAGTCAGCTTCCTCCCCGCCCCCCCCTTTTTTTTAAAAAAAATAAGTCAGACCAGAGATAAATCCTCCCCATTATGAAGAAATTTGACTAAAAACCAAAAAGAAAATAAGTATACAGGATTTATTCTCAAATCTCTCAACAATTAGATTCCAGCAGAAGCTGAGAATTTTATCTTTCTCTCCTATGTGCACCCCCAACCCCATTTTGTTTGATTACATATAAACAAAATCATACGCATGAATTTCATTAAAATTGGAAAAGTATGTACCAGAGCAGTTTAATATGCAGAAGAATGTATCACGTGCAGTAGGACTAACCACGCTTGGTTCAGATCACTGAACACTTGGCTGTGCATGCTCTCCTTTTTGAGTGAGAGTTGCCCTTGTCTGGGTATTTCTTTAGCTTGTACCAGACTACCATTTTGCCCCTCTATTTCCTTCCATAAAAAATCTCAACTAGGGATACATGCCTTTCAAGTGTGAAAATTGCTGGACTCCAGAAGGGCTCTGCATTTCATAGTCGGGAAGTTACAAAAGCATGAGGGGAATGCTATCTAATCCTAACTGTTTAGGTACATGAATATGTTGCCAGATGACCCAAATGTCCGGATCTCTCCTAAGGCTGTATTTTTGTGTTGGCAGACAGAATTTCCCTTGAAGGCTAAAAATGAGGCATATACCAGGAGGAAAAAAACATTTGATTCATGAGAAGCAAAACTGCATTATGTTATGCCAGGTCCTAGTCAGCTCCCTGCCAGCCACAGCAAGGAGCCTCGGTAACTTGATTCACTACTGAATTTGGATATCTAAAATAAAGATAGCATTATTGCGGTTGCTGTGTTTTTTAATTGTTTTCTCAGTGAGAGAACTTCCAGTTTGTTACCAACATAATTCTGAAATAAGTGCAAAACTATAAATCAGCTGCTTGCAAAAGCTTGCAGACCATGACAGAAGCACTCTGAATATTTCACTGATGTCTATTTCTGGATACCTATCTAGTTAATGTAAGATGTTGTTATTAAGGAGTCTCCACAGGACTGTTCTGCAGGAAATAAGCTCCATGTAGCTCGGCCACTATATTTTATTGCATGAAAAGTTTCCTGTGATGAATATAGAGCCCGTAAAGTCCGTGTGACTTGGTACATTTCGAGCAGAATAACTTACATGCCTTGCAGAGGTACCTTGCTTTGGATGCTAATGTTTGACTTTTGTGCTCTTCCCCTACAAATCTTACTGTTGATATAAGTTAGTTTTACACATATACCCTAGTTACAGGCTCTACCACCAACCCAAACACGAGGGTATTACAACCTGAAGACAGATGAAAGCTCCAGAACTTGGGGGAAAAAGAAATACTTAACTTAGCTGTTCATTTAAGCCTTCCAGAAATGCCTTAACTGGAAGAAAGCAGCAATTGAAAAGCATCAAATCAGGCTTGTACCTCTGGAAAACTGTTTGACGATTTGGATCCATACAGATAGTCTCTTACTAAAAAGTTACACTATGCAGTATCTGCTTAAAAAGTTGTTCCCAAGAAACAGCACGATGTAATCACAGGAGGCTTATTTCTTCTTTTCAGTTTAGGAAAGAATTTCAACTTCACTGTCACTGGGTTAAAAGTTACACTATTATTCAACTCCAGGAGGCAAGGGCATAAAATCATTTTGCCCAAAGAAACTAACATAAAATATTCCATGAGGCTTCCAAAACCTTGCAGAAAATCTGAAAAATGGAACCTGTGCTCTCTTTCACTACTAAGTAAGGACCAAGCCACACACTGGTGCATAAACAGCAACAGAGTATACTTTAACAGAAACAGTAAGCCAAAAATCTGGATAATCAGAAGAGTCGTTATTTGCACCACTAATTTTGGGGAGGTAACAATAGTATCCAAAACATTCAAATAAACTATAGGAAGCATGAGAAATCTGCAAACTCTAAGGTGGTGAGAGAGTCACAATATCTGTGCTTCAGCGGGCTCAAGTTCTACTTCTGCTAATGGCAGAATTCCTACAGTTCATTGGCAGACTTCACTGAATTTAGGACTTCTCCATTAATTTTAACATGCTAAATTAAAGTTTAAAGCTTTCATACTAAGATGACCAGATTTAAATATAACTCAGAACTATATGATGCTTATTGAGTTCAAGAGGCTTATCATAAAAATTCATGAACCCAATTTTAAAAAACTACTGTATCCAGAATTTTCCCTCAAATAATGTAACTTTCATCTTTCAGTTGGCACACAGCTGACATTGCAGTACCACTTTAATGTGCAAGAAATAAATGGAAAGAGAGCGGGGCGGGGGAGCGGGCAGAACAAACCAGCAATGCTGTCAGCAAACCACCACCACAGAGTAAATGAGTGAGAGATCCTAATTTCTCAGTTTTACCTTACGGCACCATTACAAATACAGATAGCAGTAGTAATGAAATATAACAAAGAAATTTCATCATTGCAATACTCTTGATTTTTTGGCCATATGCATGGGCTAAATTCTACCACTTATCTAGTGAGATTTTTTAAATTGAACATACCCTTTCCAATCACCGCATTTCTAGACTTACAACAAAAAAAGACCCTTACCAGGAATAATCATGAATAAGAGCCTGGGTAGATTTTTACTTTCATCTTTTGAGAGGTCTTTCCAGGGCCCACACTTTAAGACATGGGTTGCAGCTCCACAACAGTAGATAAATTCTTCATGTAATGGGACTGGCTCTTCTGACGCTGACCTCATGTTTGCTGTTAGACAGAATAAAATACTGTTATAACAGATCAGCAAATATTTAGATAGCTGGCTCTTTGCTATTATACCTTCCCATAGAATAATTGTAAAAAAACCCAAACCACCCTCCCCAAACAGCTGTCATCTCCAGTAAATAGAGGCCCAATTCAATATTTGATGTTTGAATGGGTTGTAGAAGTTGATACATGCTACTACTATAGGAGAGAAAGCATCTTTCAGTTTTTGTCTCAGAAATATATGGTGATGAATTGGACAATAAGATCTATTCTACCTTAAAGGCAAATAATTTTAAATTTCTTATTCACACTGTCCACTGAAAAGATTCACTTGAAACCTATCTGAAGGAAAACAAAAGAAAAAATACCAAACAAACAGAACTACTGCATGAATGTCTTCGCAAGTTCCGTGTGCCTCAACTATGGGAGCACAGCATCACTTAAAAACAACCACCAAAAAACCCCAACAAAAAGCAAACATAATAAAACCCAAAAGAAAATACCAGAGGCCAAAAGGAACATGCTAATTACTAGACTGCCTTCCAGCACTAGGTGGGCTCCTCATTTTAAGTGCAGCATAACTTACTTCTCTAGAAATTTTCAAAAGATTAAAGGAGGAGTCTTTGTCAGTTAAAGCTAATCAAGATTTGATCAATTCAGGCAAATATTTATGCTCACCTTTGTAACTTTTCTTAAATTATTTGGTTATCTGAATGCAGTGATGGGAAATAAAGCAGTATGCTGCCAAATAAACAAGGCATGTTCATCAGTTCATGTATTTATCATATATGAAATCATTATTAGGCTATCACTTTGGAACTGGCTGATTGACCAAACTCCCGTATCTTTCCTTCAGTGAAAAAGCTACTTCATCAAGTGACTACTTATGAATTAAAATGTCATCAAGATGAACTACGACACACACAAGCATCTGCCAAAATAACCATTTACCATTTGCAACTACAGGTGCAATTACCAAACGACAAGTCAGAAGCCTGCCCTTGGAGTATGATCACACATGTGCATCACTTGGAACAGAGACTAGTGCTTGGTAAGTCCACAAAGCTGTTTGTTTCAACTTCAAGGGCTATTTAAGCTCTAGAAAATATTTCCAATCTTATAAGAACCACATTTCAGGTTTCTGAAGCAACAGATCTGGCTTAAACAGAGTTGAAAAACTTGGTTAAATTATTACAGGAATGACTATGCATTCTTTATTCAATACATGACCATCTATAATGGAAAAGGCTGTCCAACTTAATTGTTTCCAATCTAATTAAATTGTAATTCAAGTCACACAGAAGGGGGAGAAAAAAGATTAAGTCTAACGACTAATCTAAAAGATTAGCCTTTAGTGTCTCTACCTAGTACACCCTGAAAGTTGACTGAAATATATTATGTTATATAGTAGGCAAAAAATCCCAAGATTATAGCCCAGCAATTCTCAAAAGGAACTCTCAAGGACTTCATATGCAGCCACTGGAGGAAAACTTTTCAGTAAGCCTCATCTTGAAATTAACAGACAAAAGTGCAACCACCTTTAATGTTATTTAAGGTGATGAATCTTTCCCGAGTTCAAAAGCCACTATTTTGTGTATAACTTATATAGCAGCAATCCAACAGCACATGGAATTAGGATAATTCAAACAAAATGAGAATATGATCAAATAAGATGCAACAAAAAAATAATATTACAATAAAACTGGATATTGTTGTATACCACCATGATCTTTAAAACATCAGAATCATCTAGTTAAGGATAACATTAGGCCTTTCTAATGTTTTTGCTCAGTTGAAAAGGATCATACATTTTTGAGTACAAGGATCCAAATTCTATTTGCCAATCCGTTCGTGAAGTCTTAGGCATGTAAACTGAAGCCTAAGATCTACAAAGTTTGCAGGACCATGAGGTGGGGGGGACATACCTTCACAAATAGTCACTGGAAAATTCTCAGTGCTACACAACTTGAAAGGAACAGATCCGAATGAAGATGTCACATGAAGTTAAAACAACAGGCAATGCAGAAGAGACAGATAATGCTTTATTTGAACTAACAAGAAGTACCTTCAAAAAATTCTAGTATAATGCAAACAGAAGAAGCTTCTGGACAGGAGGGAGAAGTGTTGTTTAATACTTTCAATTACAGCACAATTCTCTGGATGAAGTTTTTTTTCCCCACCTCCCTACTTCACCCCCCAAAAAAGTTCATTTAATGCCAAAGGAGACGTCTTTACTACTTCATTATTCGCCATGCTATCATCTTTAACTTACAGTGACTGGAACATAAGTAATCGAAGCGAATATTGTCAAACTATAATAAGGTATATTTTGCAATGCATTCTTCCTGCTTTTATGTCTTCATTATTCAAAGCTGAAAGAAGTCAAGAGCAGCTCTGACAGAGAAACCCAGTTACATCAACAACCAAAGTAAACATCTAGCTTGTCATCCCTTTTCTGAGGTGTTTACAATCCAAGAAGCAAAAGTTACAACTCCTTACCCAAGAAAGTAGGTTTTATACAAAGTTTCTGATCGTGAACCAATAAAAACAGTTGGAAAGTTTCATTTTGAATTGATTTCACTGAACAACTCCAAACAGAAATCCCACTGACAACTCTTCATTCACAAGTACCATTTGCAACATAAGGTCATAAATTAAGCAATGAAAAAAGGAAGCTCAGCAACACATTTTGGATTGGAGTGGTAGGCTTTTCAGGTTCACACAGACTCTTGCAGTAGCTTTGGTCCAGTTTTTAACTTACCTTAACTTCTAATTTCTAGTATGCACAATGTTGCAGTGTCTGAAAGCAAGACTGCACACTAGAGAAAAGGTTTTCTGAAAAACTGCCATCTGAGACAATTCCAGAAGGTTTCCTAGTACTAACTCTACGTTATATCTGAGGGATTTTTATTTATTTATTGTTGGGTTTTTAATTTGTAACCTTATGGCCTGTAGTAATAGAAATGGACTGAAGAGAAAATAGAGAAAAGACAGTGGATATACTCCTAGGATACTACTCAGGTCTGTTTCAAGATAAAATCAATAATACCCAAAAATATCTGTGGATCTCCTTCCCTCTTCATAAATGAAGCTTTGAAGAACAGTATTTCCATTATAGGCATCTCTCTTTGGCATGACTTGCCTGCATTGCCCCTAGAAATATCTTAAGATAGCCTATCAATTTCCAAATGCATTTAATGGGCAGAGGTCTCGAGAGATGAGACTCCTACCAGCTCAGTCAGCTGGCGGAGAGGGCACAGTTTGAGCCGCAGCTCTAAGAAAGCTAAGGAGAAGATAGAACCACAAACTTGACCGGTGGGAGTTTCATATGAGTCATCATGAAGGAAAGTAACAGAGCGAGAGAAAGAGATGCAACTATGTAGGAAATCAGGCCTTATTACATCCCATGCAGTATTTTCTTCCTTCTCTCCAACTGCTGCCCATAAACTCTGTAAATATATGTGGAAAAATATTACAAGAGAGGCAGCTTCTGTCAACAGCGCTTAATCTAGTAACAAAACTTCTGCTAGAATACATAAACATGAGCTTTGATTTAAAGGGTAGGACTTTAGCACTAGATTAACACACCCTTAACGTAGGTGTCTACCTGAAAGCAAACTCCTATTACAGGAAACAAAGATCTAGGCGACAGCAGATGGACTGATTAGTGAATAACCATGGGACCAGACACTAGGTTTCTACTTCAGGATGAGACAAGTCATCCCCTAGGTAGCAAAGCCTATAATGAGAACTTAGACATACACTTACAAACCAACACATATATTTAGCTGTCTTACTACTGATCTGGACTCCACCTACTGTCATTGTTTCAGATAAGAATATTTGGAAACCGAGTTATCCACAAGGAGCAGATTACTTTTGCCATATGACTAAGTCTCTTCATATTCATCTTTGGTTCAACTGACTCCAAAGTAAAATGCTGACAGTAAAACTAAGTTTCCTTTGCACACACTGAGCTTAATTATTTATGCATCTGTCCTGATATTAACTGCTCCATCCTACATTATTACTTGGACTTGACATTTTATTTGAATCTTTCAAATTTGGGAATAACAAAATTTGTGATCTGCATCCAAAAGAGTGTTTAATGAAACTCAAAAATGAGTTTTATGAAACTCAAAATAGTGTTTAATGTCACAAACTCAGTCTACCACCACATCATGTAACCAGAGTAAGTCGACTGAGAATTGGCCTACAAACTATCCAGTCACAAGACAGTACAAACAGGTTGGTGTACCTGATCTGAAGAATGATGCTAAGGCAAGAGATGCAATGGTAACCACATGGGCAAAGATAAGTTGCATAAAACAGTGGTGGAACCAAAGTAAAGGAGAAAGGACCACTGAAGCAGATTTGACATATTAGATTCCACAAAGCCATAAGAAATACATCCCAGGGTGCCCATGGCCAGGGTTGCTGTGAGGCCACTTTCTACCCGTTTTGATGTGTAACGATGACTGGGGGAAGTGCCTGAACACTGCAAAAAGGCAACCATCATGCACATGTTCAAGACGGAGCGTACAGGGAGCTATAGACCAGTCAGCCTCATCTCAGTTTTCAGAAAGCTATCAAAGAAAATCCCCCCCAAAGTAGTACTCAAGCACATGAAAGCAACTGGAAGCACACCCTGCATGGATTTGGCAAGGATGCATTGTGCTTGAATAACCTCATTGCCTTCTATGATGAGATGAATGGTTCAGTGGATGAGGGGAGAACACTAAAAGCTGTTTAGCTTAACTTGAGCAAGGCTTTCTACACTGTCTCCCATAGTATTCTTTTAGCTAAGATGGTGAGATATGAACTAAGTGGACTATAAGGTGCTTTTGGGGCAAAAAAGAATAAAAAGAAAAAAAACACAAACAAAAAAAACCAAACCACAACACAAAAAAACCCTTGTCCTTCAAGGATCAATATTGGGCCAATAACATTCAATGTCTTCATTAAACACCTGGACAATGGGACAGTACGCACTCT